GATGGTCGTACTCTGTTCCGTCAATCACGACACTTGCACTACGCCTCGAAATTATTCAGATATATAGGGTTGATGAACTGAAGTAGCTCAACTCACCTAACAGAGCAGCTGCGAGAAAACGTCTATTGATGGACATTGTTATGACATGACAGAGATGTGAGACTAGTGAGTTAAACTGAGGGGGGGGAGAGATGTTGCGTCGCTTGGATGCAAAACGGGATAATCCCCCCACCCCTTGAATTATTTCCCCCCCATTTTTGCAATTCATCCGAAAAACCCCTCACCCAACCTGTTATTCACCTCACTCCATAGACTATAGCATGCACTCTTTCAATATGCTCTTTTCTCTGCTTCTTTCCAATCATGCATGTCCCATAGTACCTACTAGACATCCTGCTGGCAAATTCGCGTTGTAATTCGCATGCGAAAGCACCAAAAGTCATCAATTCGCAAATTCACAGTATCAACCTGCGAAAGTGAGTAAACTCACTCTGACTACCCGTCTACTATGTGTTAACTTATCCCCAGCATCTGAATGCACTATTTGATAACCTCTGATAGGTTCAGCTCTTCATCTTGATGTGTATGCATCAATTTACAGCTCGCGAAGCGAGCCTGACAGGGTAACAGAGAGAAGTTGAATGAACTTCTACCTTTGTGTTGTCAACACTGCGTTTTTTCACTTGTCTTCTTCATTGTTCAACTACTTCTCTATTTCTACTTCACAGACACACACACATCCACTCCTCAGCTCTGATCTAAAGCATTCACACTCAGTAACAACATCTTTCGCAAGTCAATTCGTTTCCACACTACACCAACAAACCAGTCAATTTTACGCCCAAACCTCTTCCAATATCCTTCAAACTACTTCTTAAATCACTTCCTACTCCTCACATCACCTTGTCAGCTGCCTCTCCCTCATTCTTCTCACTATTCGCATATACCATCTGCCAATAATGCCTCCCAAAGCCACCAAGACCAAAGCAAATGCGAAATTGAAGGTAGCCGCCCGAACAAAAGCTGCTAGAAACACTGCTGGGCCCAGCACCGAAGACGATTGGGTTTTGCAAACAGCAGCTACTCATCCTCCAGATAATGTCGAACTTACGCCTGCTCATATATTCTTTCATGAGAATATTCGCCCCAACCATCCTGTGTGGAAGTCAGAAGAAGCTATTCGCGAACAGGAGAAGACACTAGGCGGTCCTTTACAACCGTGGTGGCATGCTCAGTCTTCTGCTTTGCCCAATGAAGCTGGAAAAGTTGGCTTTGTGGAGGTGTATGGGGAAGAAGTGCAAGCAGCAGGTGTCAGGATTATGGGGAGTAGAGGCCCATTATGCTTTAAAGACGGAAAGACGCACCATTGTCATAGAGATAAGGTTTTGGCAGCCTTCTACTACAAGTGAGTGCTAGTTTCGCAGGCTGTCCTTTCAATTCCGCTTTTGAAGGTTCCCATTCGCAGCATTCTCTGTTGAAATTCCCCTTTTGCAGTTTGCCTCTCTAAAAATCCCACTTCTCAATTGAGAGGATCCCTAGCTGATTACAGACATCCTAATATCCGTTGCAAGAACATAGGGGATGGACTTATCACCACCATTGTTGACCGCTGGGAAGAAGGAAAGTTTCTCAGCTGCTCTGTGTGCTATTCAGATACACATCTCACGAACTGCACAGTCAGAGGAAAGATGGTACCCGGTCAGAAGAGTGAGTTGGGGAGCGAGGGAGAGAAGGAGAATGAGGAGACAAACGTGAATGATGTGATGGAGAGTGGGAATACATCGGACTTGACTCCATTACCTCAGGAGAAGAGAAAGAAAGGCAAGGAGGTTGCGAAAGACCATTCTTCAACCAACAAAACGGTCAAAACTCCAGTTCACAACACTCGAGCGTCAAACCAAGCTGGTGGATCAAAGCCTCCAAGATCAACTCCAACATGGAAGACCCAACAAGAAGTTGAGAAGAGGAGAACACCTCGGGGGGACACTCCATTGCCTCTGAGAAATAGTGAGGGTTTCTTCGTTGAAGGAGAATCCGAGCTGACAGATGCTGAAGATGACGAGACCATCGATGAAAGCCAAGAGCGAGCCGCAAATACTGGCCAAGGCAAAGCTCAACATGAATCCCTTTCCTCTGAAAACTCTTCCCAGCCATTGTTTGCCTCTTTCCCCTCGATCACAATGAGTCCCTCAAAATCTCAAAGCCATTCGCAAGAGGATAGGCAAGTGAATCTGCAAGGGAACAATGAAGGCAATTCTCAAGGCAATTCGCAAGAGTCTTCGCAAGGAAAGTCTCGAGAAGTAGCCAGCACCCTTCTTTCGCTCTCTCACAGTGTTCCTCCCCCTCCTCAAACCTTACCTGCAGCAATCCAACCATCTCCTTTTCCTCCAGCTGCCTTTTTGCAACCCAACCCAGCTCTCCCGGCACCACAATCAACTACAAATCAACCCCCTGTGCCATTATCCACTCCTTCGCAAGCAACTCATTCATCTCCCATGGTCACTCCTACCCCTTCGCGAACCAGTATGAATCTTCCTTCTGTTCGCCAACAACAAAACGTTCCATTATTCCATTCTACAGCTCAGATTGCTTCAGACAATGCAGTCAAGTCACCTTCCACTGTTTCTGCTGGACTCAAACGTAAAGCCAATGAGCCTGATCAGTCTCCAGTCAAGGTACCACGTTTGGAAGCTGGGAACTGGGGAATCAAAGGCATGCAATCTCCTGCCAAGCATTCACAGGAAGTAGCTACAGCTCCTGTGGTTCGCAAAAACCCTCAACAAGTGGCTCAAGGGTTGGTTTCGCTTGCAGGTCCTTCCTCTCAGCCTGGTTCCTCTTCACATGCTATTGGTCCCTCTCAGAGAACCTCGAGGGTTGACCCTGAAGCTTGGTTGAAGAAAATTAACATGAACAAAGGCAAATCTTCGACATCTGATGCAAGACCAACCGTTGATACTGCTCCTCTGGCCTCAAGTGTAGTGGTTCCTGCGAACAAGCTACCACAATCCAAACAACCTGGTGCTTCGTCCTCTCAACCTGGTTCTTCCTTCTCTCAACCTGCCCCCACGGTGAATCTCCCTGCCACGCCAACTCGATCTTCCTCACCCTCTCTTGGTCCACTTTACGAGAAACCATTTGCTCCATCGCTGACTACTCCGCAAGGCAAAACTCCATTCATTCTTCGTCCACCAACCAATCTTGATGAGGTAGCTACTTGCTTCGACTTGGTGAATCACTTCCATGAGACTGAGGCTGTACATGAAAATGCCTTCGCACAGACAGCCATGTCCGATATCTCGCGAATGTTCCAATACTTTCAACAATCCACAAGCATTCATCGTAGACGTTTGACTCAGGGGGTGACCACAGCAACTCAAGGTGTTCTAGCCTTACAAGATCGCTACAATGCTGCAATTGCTTCAGAGGATGGTCTAAGATCTGAGCTTGCAACAGTTAAACAGCATCTTATCTCCATGGAAGAGCTATATACTTCTCAAGTCAAAATCAATGAAAATCGTGAAAAAGCTATTGAAGATATCAAGAACGACTTGGGTGCTCAGATTGCTTGGCAGAATGCACAGATCAGCTCTTTAAGTGGTCAAGTTAGTGTGCTCAGTGATCGCTGGTCTGCGGCTGTCAAAGATAAGGAGGATATGGTGAAGGAAGTGACTGAGAAAGATGAGAAATTCAGGACGCTAGAGTTCAAACTTGAGAATACCAGTGAGAACCTGCTGGAGGCAGCTGGTGTGGTGCAGCAGGCTATTGAGGACAAGAATCAGCTGGTCAAAGAGAGAGATGAGATTCACAAGAAGCATGAGAAATGTGAGGAAACAATTCGTGGATTAAGTGAAGAGCTGGGGAAAGCTCAAATTGAAAGAATGGAAACTCAAGCCAGATACAGAGACCAATCCATATTGGCTGCCGCTTATATCCAAGAACTTGCAAGAATGAGAGCAGAGGCGGGTCTACCAGACGTGGTGGCTGAATTGGGCGAAGAGGGAAAGGTGGAGTTTACAGAAGTAACAGAGGTAAGGTCCACATCACCCAATGACCAGGAAGGTGGAGAGTATCAAGACACTCAACGGATCAAGATTGAACCTGTTGGCTCTCAAGAACAACGAGAGAGATCCTCTGCTCCAGACAAAGGTGTGGAGGAAAACATTGAATCTCGCGAATGCGAAAGTGAGTTTGTGCCTGCTACCGGGGGAGTGACATCTGTTGGTGAAGCTGTGACAAGGATAGAGGAGGGTCCAGAAGCTGTGAGTATCGAGGAAGCAGGGGAAGCTGTGTAAGTATATTGTCAACCATTGTCACTTAATGTGTTCTGTACACCAATGTGGAAATGTGAGATTGATTCATGGCTCTGCGAAATGCAATCATAGCTCTGCGAAAACACCTTTTTTTGTTTGCAAACACGTGTGAAAGAGTGTGTAAAGTATACACACTCTGTAAATAGTTGACTCCTGACTTTTGTACTGAACTCAGGATAGATTCAATGAATGATAACTCTGAAAGCAAAGCAAGTGAGAGACAGCACTAAGATCAATAGAGAATACATGTTATTGGTTGGTCCGTATATCAATTCAGAGATGCAACATGAAATGTGGCTCAGTGAAAGTAAGTCTACTGAAATGAAGATGTCAAAGTACACTTCAGGAAGTACTTTTTGTGCGAGGAGTACATATTGTGAATAAATGAGATGATCAGTTGTGCTCAGAATGGAGAAAAGGCTTATTGCTTTCGCACGTCATACCCACTATGTCAGTGTTCAAGTCGGGGTGTCACCATGGTCCAATTTGAATTTCGCTACTTTGCCCATGCATACAGGATTGAAGTAGACCTCTGAAAGTATATCTTACAAGGCTAAAAGATCCATTTCATGTGCATGATAACTTGGGAGGTTGGATCCCTTCCAGGGGTTTTGCCAATATATGAGGCTTCACTTCAGGGAGTCACCAACTCCCAACATGAATTTCGCTACTTTGCCCACCTTTCAAAAAGTGGAGATACACCCCCAAAGAACATATTTTTTGACGTGAACTTGTCTTTTGATGTGTCCCAGTGGGCAGGAGGAGTCACGGAACATGACAAACAGTGACTATTTCTTTCCAATAATGTTGATCTTCGCAAGAGTATAGCTTTCCTATGTGAATTTCACTGATTTGCCCATCACTTTGGATCTGAAGGAGCATGCCTAAAGAGCACTCTGAAAGATGTAGCAGGCTGTTCTATGTGTCTCTAGCTTCATACTGGGGTGACCACGTTGGACTTTTTTCATAACATGCTATAAAATTGGGTCATATGACAAGGTATGCTCAAATTGATTGGGCAAGTGTTTCAACTTGAAATATTATGTACTCAATAGGCCCATACATGCTGGCAAATAACGAAGAATTTTCACCAATGCCCAAGGGTAGCCAGCAAAGGTGCTTGTTCGCAGACAATACATAGTACACTTCAATACAACAAAGGAGCAGGTCTGGGGAACCACGACAAACCTGCAAGTGTACCTCACAACCTATCTAGCAGTTCTTGAAGTGAAGGCAGATGAGGACTTAGCTCTTTCCATATTTTGATGGATATCAGATCTTGATTCACAGCATCTTGAGAGGCTGCAGCTAGAATCACTTGAAGAATGCAGGTTCGCAAGTTGATTGATTCGGCCTGAGTCAGCTGAGGACTGTTCAAACCTAAGACAGCTGCAGTAGGAGGAATTCCTTGAAGCAAAAGGCCTGCAGCTGCAGCTGCTAGTGGGCCACAGCTGTGCGAATCGACCTGAACGGCCCACCCAAGGGCCTGGAGAACTTCCTGGTAGTCTCAGTCACAAATTCCGTGCAAAGAGAGCCACTTGCCTTGTTGTTTGCAGCAATTACCCAACCAGAGACCTCTTGAACTGTTGCAAGTCCATTCTGAACTTCCCAGGATAGTCGTTCATCCAAGAGGACTGGCCATTGCTGAAATCAGACCAGACCACAAAAAAACCATTGCTCTCTGCGAAAGATGCTCACCTTGGTAAAAGCCGGCGAATTGTAAGCTCCTCCTGCACCATCAAACATGAGAACCAATTTCTGAGGGCCAAAGATGACCATCGCTCCAAAGTGAGTATCAGGGGCCAGCGAAACAACACCAACTAGGACTCTCTTTCTCCATTCGCCAGTCCTCCCCAAGCAGGACCAAGGAATACCCCCTGTTCGTTGACCTGTCCACTCCTTCCCTGGATCTAGATGCAAGAATGTAAACATCTGATATAAATTAACATCATCCTTCATAATTCCTTTACTACGTTTTTGTAGTTTCAACTTTGAGAGAAGTTGAAGTATATCATATATCATGAAATTCGAATACCATGCCTGTTCGCTACCCAGCGTTTGAGATAAGACCACCGAAGAGATAGCTGATTCATCCCCAAAGAGAGACAGCTTTGCTTGACTGTCAACTTTGGTCTTGCCATTCACACTTGCTTGCTTTGGCTTTGCTTGTGATAGCTCTTTCGACATACTACTAATGGTTTCTGGTGATAGACGGACAACTTCGCAGTAAGGTTTGGCAGATATCACCGGTTTTGCAGACTGTTGGGTCCTCCATGGAACTTTATTCATTCGCTCCCATATCTCCTGTGTATCACCTGCTAATCGACAGCAAGATAGAAGCTTCAGAGGTAGTTCAGGAGGTTTGTGGGAGCTGGCAGTGTTGATTTTCTCAATACGTGGTGGATGCGGTGTGGTAACTCCTGAGCTTTGTCTTTGGTAGAAGAGCATAACAGGAAATCGAGTCTGTTGAAAAGCAGAACTGAGTAGATCAAGTCTTGAAGTTCGATCGTCGTCCAGCTCCCACCAGACACCATTCTCCTGAATCAAGGATACATAGTGGCCAGAATCTGCAGTGACAATAGCACCTTTCCTGCATAGAACACCTTTCAAGGAGAAGTGAATGTTGCTGTTGCCAGGGGTTGTGGAAGGGAAAGCAGAAATCTGCGAAGCAGACAAAGTAGGACTGAGAACAAATGGTGTGACCGAATTCACATTGGATTGTGGACCAAGGTTCCAGACCACATTGATGATGAAGATTGATGTCTTGCTGTTGGTGTCCAGAGTCATCTGAGCTTTACTTCTAGTGACACAAACTCGTCCACAATCCAAGCAATGTCGTGATGTGCATGTTCTAGTCAAGCTTCGCTGGATTAAGTCGACCACACTGGTTTGGTGCGAACTGGAACCTAGCACGGCACTTGGATGTATTGGAACAATTGTCATGGATCGCTCATGGGTGGAATCACCTTTCGCAACGGGTAATCGATGGCCACAGGGGGCAAACACATACTGCCAATCGACATCAAAGACATATGTAGCTTCTACCGGATCGTTGGTGACATTATCTCGAATCTTGTTTGCAATGTAAAGGAATAGCTCCACAGGATCATGCTGTTCAAATTGGTCCACAAGACTTTCATCTCGAAGATCAGCAAGGGTAGCTTTGCACCTTTAAAACCTACTTACCTCTGAGAATTTGGAGCATCTGGGGTATATCTACTATCCGCCTGGTTACATTGATACAGTCAAAGAAGTTCTCCAGCATGACCACCAGTCTGGACACTTCCACCCTTAGTTCGGCTTTGATAGCATTGAAAGCTGCTGAGAAGGATGGAATTCGCAGAATGATATGGAACAAACTGATAGCAGAACAAGTTTGGTTGTAGTTCTTAGCCCCAACTGGCCTTTCGTGAAAGGGGAGCTGCTCAGTACGAAACTGGATATTGCTCTTGTTCTTCTTTTGACTTCGGTGCGGATGTAGAGGCTTGTTGGAAGCAGGCCGGCCACCTTTGTTGGGCTGTGTTGGTTGACTTTCGCTTTTCTTGGGGGTCTCGCAGCCTTCTTCTGACTCAGAACGCATGGCTTTATGTCGTCGACCTATGGGGGGATTGATTTCTTGCTCATTCGCTGGTGTTTCTGCATCAAGATCTTTTGAATCGATACTGACTAACAGACAGCCACTGGGTCTAGATGTAGTATCCCACTGTTGGTCTGCAAGTTCTGTCGGATCGTGTCCCCACCACTTTCGCAATTCCTCCTGGTCAACTTGTGCCGAAGTGGTTCCCTTATTCCCCACCCCTTCCCTTGGTCCCATTCGCAAAGCCGTTGCATATGCTGCAGTCTGTCCTTCATACGCCTCTAGCTCTCCACAGGTTGTAAGACAATGAAGAGCCCATAGTCCTCGACATCTCTTCCCTCTAGACTGGAACCACCCACACGAGCAGTATTCGCGATCACTGGATTTCTTTATTCCACAGTAATGCGCGTTTCGCTTTCGCAAGCCAGACTCAATGGTGAAGGTTTCTTTAAGAGGCTCCAAGCTGCTGGGTATTTCTTCCGAATCACAATGCTTGAGCTGACCCAGCTGCCAGATCTCAAGACCCTTCTGGATCTCTTGTGTTATGTCGGGATCACATCGACCAGAGGTTGGGGGAGAATAGAGATACATTGGAAAGTAGATGTTAACAATAACGGCAAGGAGTTTATCGATTCGCTTATTGGCTCGGGCTTGTAGGAAAACTCTGTCAAAAGTCCTGAATGCCGCCTCAACAAAGTTGTTGGTAGAAAGCGGCCCATCTCTTGTGTGTTCACGAGGAAGACCATAATCCATGATGCATTTGCGCCAGCTTTCGCTGAACCATTGAGTATTCAACCATGTGCGAATGGTCTCCCAATGTTCTTCGTCTCCGTCCAACAACTCCAGTACATCTGCCTCAAACTCTTCATACACTTCCTCCCACTCCTCTTCCACATCACACCTCTGACACTTTCGAAGGGCTGAGAGGAACCTAGATGTCTTCTCGCGACCAACCTGAGTTCGTCCAAGTCGTCTGTCCATCCTTTCTCTTGCTGCATGCATGAAATGAAATTGACAGAGACGCACAGGAGTTCCTGGGAAAACTGTCTGGGCTGCGTTTCGCTCTGCGGCATCACAATCAATCATGACCATGAGGGGCCAGAAGCCATCCTCAGTAATGAGGATGGCATTACTGAGGACAATCTCCTTGTCTTCAAATTCGCTGATGACCTCTGAGGTACCATTCACAAGAGCTTTTGCTTCCTCTTCCACAGCTTTTCAAAAGACAGAGAGGAGATGGGTGTAAGACGCGGTGGTTGCATGATTTGACAGCATTACAGCCATTGGCACCATGTGATTGTGCTCATTGACAGTGGTGAGGAAGGTGACTGGACAGCGAATAGCGTTTTTGTTCCTCCAAGAAGAGTCCATGGCTAGTCCCCTTTCGTGAGCATGGCGAATTGCAGTTTGCAGAGCGTGTTTGGGGCTGATCACACATTGGAAAGTGGCATTGGTGGGAAACTCTTCAGTTCCTCCAAGGACAAGATCGTGAGGGATTTCACAACTGGATGTCAGCTGGGGCCAGTCTGCTCTGCGAATGTGACTCACCTCAGGAATGTCGATGGATTTGCTGAGTGGAGGACTTGAATAGCTGCCAATGGTAGAGTGTCCAGTCTGTCTTGCCTCAATGCTGTCCGTATGGCGGTTGCAAAGTCACTCTCTTTGGGCATCCTATGAGGACAATTGTCAGACAACCAAGTCGCATAAGGATGGAGCTTGGAGATACTGGTGAACCATCGAAGCTTGAGGCGGCTTTCGGTCGTTCCGACCAGTGTCGCAGCATCATGAAGGATATTGCGCATGTGGTAGGATATCCTGAGAAGGCTCAGAGGTTTTGGATCCCCATGGTAGGAAGGTAATGGCTGGATAATTGTGCAATATCCTCTGCGAATGCTTCTAGGAGTCATTCGCACCTGCAAATAAGCTTAACTCATCTTTATACAAAAGTCATAACTCACTTCAACACACAATGGGCATTTTCGTTTGCGAATTGTTGTTCTTTTTGTCTCCACAGGATCCTCTTTGCCCTGCAGACTCCCCTGATCCTCCTCAGCCCACTCATCCCCCTCTATCCCTTCATTTCTATTCCTTGCCTCACTCTCCTCACTCCCCTCATGTCCCTCACTCCTTTCCTCTTTCCTCTGTCGTTTTCGTAGATTTCTCTTTGGACGTTGTGGTGCTGGAAGTGAGGTAGGTAGGGCTTGAACTTGCTGGCAGCTACCACTGCAATTGAATCTCGAGCGCCAAACCAACTTATCAGGACCCTTTGCGAAGGCCTCATCTGAGACATGGAAGACTGCGTGACGTCCGCGAATGTCACTTGGGTGAAGCCCTGGAGGATCTAACCACTCCACCTTGATATGATCTGATACTCTCTGTGATCTGAGGAGGTAATCCTGTGTCTACGGATGTCAGTATCATTTAACACAGTGATAAATAACTCACCATCATGTCAAAAGCCTTAGGAATAAGGTGGAAAGCTACCTCGATCTCCTCGTAACGCTCATCCTGACCAATATCATTCGCAGAAAGCACACAGAAGTTCTTCACTGCAGTGATGCCAGGACCAAGGCTTGCTTTTGTGCGTACAGTGTTGAAAGTGGATGGCTGCTGCTCCTGGATTGATATCGGAATCTGAGTACTTTCGATCTCAATGATAGCTCGATTCCTTAAAGCTTGCTCGCGAATTGAGGTATAATTAACCTTTTGCGTGCTTGGAGGATGCGAAAGGGTGGACATGCTTGTCACATAACCTGAGAAGTGTGACGTTGATGTAGAGGGGGGCAGATATGTTGTGGTTGTGTCGGTTTCAGTGTCTGGGTCACGGGTATTGGGTGTCACAACTGCGAAAGGTTAACAGAATACTGTGATTGAAGAAGGTCTCACCATCAGAGTCATATTTTCGCTTCCTCGAGTGCGAATGGGGAATATGAGATGTGTGAATGTTGCTAACAGGATGATTGGGGATTGACTGGGGCCTTGCAGGGTAAGGAGAGACTAAAGGGACTCAGCATCTGGACACCTGAACTTGTAAAGAGAGCTCTTACCCTGATTCGCAGTGTTATTCGCATAACATGCCCCCGTTGCTACTCCCTGTTCCTCTTGCTCTTCGTCTTTGGCCTTTTCTAGCAGTCTATCTTGCTCTTTCTCCTCTTCTACATCTGCTTCCATGTCCAGTCGGTCAAAGGTGAATTCAAAGTCCTGAAATTGTTCAAGGATATCACCACCATTGTCAATGTAATCGTTGTCAATTGCTTGTTGTTTTTTCAGCTGTTTCTGCTCAAGCTGATGAGCCTCAGAGCCGTGAAAAGGGAAGTCCTCAAAGGCGTCCAGGACATCACAGGTATCTTGAGCTGTGAAAAGGTCTTTTACTGTACAGGCTCAGCATAACATAATTCGCGAATGAATTTCATAAACTCACTGTTGTCTCTCTTTTCTAAAGGTTTACCCCTACCTAGACTAACATCCTGACTAAGCTGACGCTTGGAAACTTTTGTGGGAGTTCCTGGGGACTGATCTTTGTATTTTCGAGCTGGTCGACCAGGTGTTCGCTTAACTGAAGCGTTCAGTACAAGTTGGTGCGCTAAAGACCGTGGGGTCATCAGATATGAGCTGCGAATTAGATATGAGGTGTGAATGAGTGTTATGAAGAGTTATGCTGAGCAAAACGTAGCTGAGGAGATGCAGAAAGTGTAGATATGCATACTCCAGTGTTTACCAGGCGCTCAAAGTATGAGTACGCCCAATAAAAGACAGTTGATTGATCCCCGGGGTCCGTGCGAATGGATCTGCGAATGACATGTGAATTCAACTGTGAAGAGACAACCCCTTCGCGAATGCTGCGAATTCGCACATTTATGGACAGTGTAAACCCCTGGGGGTTAGAAGATATGCAGCAAGCCTTGGTAGGAGGTTATAATAACAAGTGAGGGGTTTTTCTGCTTCCAAGATGGTAATGTGGAAGGAGTGGGGTGAATAACCGGTTGAGTGGGGGGTTTTTCGGATGAATTGCAAAAATGCGGGGGAAATAATTCAAGAGGTGGGGGGATTATCCCTACACGCCGCTTGGATCTCCTCCACTCCTTCCCCACGTGGCCGCTGTGTGGCATGTGGCACCTGGTGCAATGTGGTGGATTATGCTCACTTGGCGCACGGTACAGATACACCATCCTTTGGACCGGAGACTCGCCTACCCTCTTGAGACTCGCCTGGGCTATACACGTCTCAGAGTACAGTATCTCTAGAGGGGAGGAAAGATAATGGTAATAACGGTAGATGCTGGCTTGTTGTTTTGATGTAGCTCATAAGGGGGAAATTTCCCATCAATCTCTCCCTTCCCCCCTTCTCCCCTTCCCTTTCCCCTCTCCCCCTCTCCCCCTTCCATGATGAGAGCCTCAACACACTTTTCTCACCACTTGACCTGGTTTTTTCACGTATGTCCCTCCATTGTTGAGTTGACCACAGGGAGTAGAGGTAGTGGTAGGAAGGCGGCACGGCGGTCAACCTCAACCTCGACGAAACCGCGTAGACGGGTGAAGGCGGACTACGAAATCCGTCAATCCATTGTGGTCCAAAGCTGTGTTGGCCAATCAGGGAAATGCACAGTCCTGGATAAGTAGCTCTCATTATTCTCACTGATCCTAACTGCTTCTGACATCAATTCCACCCACATCATGTCCCAGACGTTTCAAGAACCCAATCCGGAAGTCCCGTTTCCCGACCACGCATATGTTGTTGGGAAGTATGATGGATGTTATCTCCAGACTGAACAGAGTCTCCCTAGAGTCTACAAACCCTTTTTGGGGCAGGAGATCAGTGGGGATGGGCAGACACCTAGCTGGGACCCACAAGCAAACAGTTATCAGAGAGTGTTTTGCCATGTCTTCAATGGGTATTGGGGAGAGGGCTCTGAAGTTCAACTTCCCGAGTATCTGACCTCTTCAACCGGACGGATTTTCAAATGGGATTCGGTAGCTTCCGTCTACGGGCTTATCCCAATCCTGAATGCTGATATACCGCAGTCTCATTTTGCAAACTTAGAGGTCCAGCAAACATCAATGAGGAGGATGAGTCAAGGTGGTGCAGTCTTTGATGTGACTCCTGAGTCGGAGCATATTCCATCTGTTGAGTGTCTCACTTGTCAACAGTTCGGGATAGCCTGCCGGTCTGGTTCAGTGAATGACAGTGAAAACGGAACAGCAAGATTAAGTGTAAACGATGGTTACATACAATTTCAGATATCCAAATGTGGACCGTGTACTCGGCGTGCAGGAACCGACTACTTCTGTCTCTTTCCATTAGCCTTTCCATTTGCCTCCCAGGATGCTATTCCAGAAGAGAAACACCCTTCAAGTTTGGAGGGTGAATCTAGAAACCAAGATCCATTCAGGCACTCATTGAAGGAATCAGGAAAGCACGGTTTCGTTAGAACAAGCTGTCAGACGTGCAGAGATTCTAAACAAAAGTGTGAACCTTCACCCGAGGGTGATTCTGCTTGTTTGAGGTGTGTTCAACGAGGGCTTGGAACCCAATGTGACAAGAGTATTATAATGAGTGAAGTATACAAGGATGTTGCAAAAGCTGCATACAAGTTGTCCCTGAGTTTGACATCGGGGAAGAGATCAAGCTGCCAAAGCTGCAGGTCTTTAAAAGCCAAGTGTGAGCTTGCAAAGGATGGGAGCTTGGCTTGTCGCCTGTGTGTTAGCAAAGGACTTGAAAAAAAGTGTGACAAGTCTGTCTAATTGAAGGATAGTGCAGTGGAAGAGTCAGAGCACTGATTTTGACCACCGGCGTCTTAATGGAGCAGGATTTGTATAAACACACCTGCACTTGAAGAAACACGTACTCACTGTACTTGCTGTGATGGCTGAGTCTCATTTGTGAGTCTGTATCTGATGCATGTTAATATGAATTTGAGTTTGATAGTAGTACACTTTCAAGTTGCAGTGATAGACCCGACAGAGGGAGAAAAGGTAATTGCTGAGAACATTGCCGATGGCATAGCTCATCTCCACCTCACTTGCCGTTAGCCTTGTTGGAGGGATCAGATAAGCTACACACGTTGAAACTTTTCTCCTGTTCGTTCGTTCATATCTTTATGCATTACTATATCGTTCGATTACAACTGATTATGAGACCCGTGCTTTAACCGACTAAGCGAATTCAGCAAGCATAACCTACCCATCGCTCGTTCACTTGTTCACTCGACCAGCCCGACCGACCGGCCTCCTCGCTCGTCTCGTCACTGCTGGAGTATAGATAGGGAAGTCAGGAAGACTAGCCTTTTGTGTGAGTGGGAGTGCGACGAGCCTTAGGTTCTTATACCAACAGTCGCTTCACTTGAACGTCATTGTCTTCTTGCTTGTTCGAACGGCTGACCACCACATACATAGAGAACTTGACCGACATCGACTAGATCGGACTCGTCCTGTCCTGTCCTCATCTCGCTCGATATCAGCATCATCACCCCCATCATGTCGTCCAATGATCTCTCCAAATCGTTCGACACTGTGCCCAAGCTCACTGGGAAAGAGAACTACCTGGTATGGCATCAGAGGTTAACAGTTGTCCTCTTCATGACTCGAACTCGCTCGTTCGTTCTCCCCACCACCATTGCACCAACTGCTACCACTACAATCCCTACAATCCCCTCCACTGGATCATCCCTTTCGCTCGAAGCCTGGAACGAACGAGATGAACAGGTTGCTGCCGCCATCCTCCACTCCACTTCTGAGGATATCCTCTCTGCTCATCTTCACCTTTTGTCACCCATTGATCCTCCTTCGACCGATCGACCGGTTTCCACCACCATTTCCCCTGCTTATCGAGCTCGAACAATCTATGATTCGCTCAAGAAGACCTATGGAACTACTGGTGCTCAATATTTGTTTGCTCTTGGGAAGAAATTTGTGGAGAACCGGTGTTCAGAGGATGAGGATGTTGAGGAATGGGTGAACAAAGTGCTCGCTCAATATCGTGATCTCAAAGTTCTTTTGTACGATCTCGATCAACTCTGTGTAAATGTTCTCCTCAATGGTCTTTCTGATCGCTTCAGTTCGTTCATTGATGGCATCTGGAAGGAAGATGATACACCATCTGTGGAAAACATCAAGATCGAAATCCTTCGAGTGAACGCAGGTCAGAGGAACCGAACGAACGACAAGGCTCTAGCAGCTCAAGTTTCCTCACTTTCCATGCGACAAACCTCAGCTGCTCGCTCGAGCGAAGACTCCCTCATGGTGTTCTATGCTGGATTGAAGAAGGCAGGGAAGGGACCCAGTAAGGAACATCCCTGTGCTCGATGTGGATCGGTTGATCATTGGGTGGTAGACTGCCCAGTCCCTGCATCCTTGAACGAGCGAGGATGTCATGAATCACACCATCACGTGTTCCTTGTTGCGCAAAACAAGTTCAACCTCCACTTCCGTGTTTTAATATTTCACCTCTGCTCTCATGCCTATCAGGCATAAACTCCAAGTATCATTCTAGTACGTCGGTGCTTAGCTTCCATGCCTGCAAGGCATAAGTCCCCAGTAATTCTCTTGTCTCTAGTTCCTCTGTTCTTATGCCTGCTAAGGCATAATCTCTCAGTCTCTTGTTCTCGCAGCACTTCTATGTTCTGCATAGTTCTTCATAGTTCCTCATCGACCACCTTCGACAAAGTCAAGCGACTTCCGGCGCATCCCATAGGATGTCATAGTAGGACGTAGGTAAACGCAGATATGGCATCGTAGGATATCAGTGGTTATCGGTGGGATGCAAGGCAATGCATGCAGGACAGTGCAGGACGGTTCAGAGCGCTCGTATTCCGCAGGTCTGCACGAGCCTCTTGGAAAAGGCTGATTTGTCTATATAAACCCTATCTTGTACTTTGTAGTCTTCTTTAGTTCTTGATCAAAAGTCATTTCCATTGCCACCCTTTTGGAGTCCAATCCATTCCATTCCAGTCCAGTCCAGTCCATTCCAGTTCCCTGTAGTCTTGTCAGACAAGCCAGAGACATTCCTTGGGTCACAGTCCCATTCCTTGTTGGACTCAGTCTTGTTATCTTAAGTATATTCCTTGTCACTCCTAGTCCTTGTCCCCTTGTCCTTTGGCCTCTGTCCCAGGGTGGGCAGTATCCTTGACAGAGGAAGAACCAAGAAATGGAAGGGAAAGAAAGGAAAGGGTCCATCGAAGGAGGTTGCTGCCCCTGTAAAGACTGAAACAGAGATAGCTGCCATTGCCTCACAAGCTATCACCTCGTTCGAATGCAATGATATCGAACATCTCCTCCTCACCACCGACATCAACTCGATCTCACTCGCTGCTGGATCGAGCCAATGGATCCTTGACTCTGGGGCAAGTGAACATATGAGTGGGGATATCAATTGGTTGAAAGATCTCAAGTCAACCGATTCAATCGCTCGAATCACAACTGCCGGAGGGAGAACTCTTGCAGCAAGCTCGTGCGGCTCGGTCAATCTGACCAACCATCTCGCTCACAAAGTATCACTCAGTCGAGTTCTTTATGTACCTGATCTGGGATTCAACCTCATCTCAGTATCTCGACTGGACTCGCTCGGAGCAACAGTGGTGTTTGGCGGCGGGAAGTGCTCTGTCATGAAAGGTGAGCTCGAGGTACTTCGAGCGCACAAAATGGATAAAGTGTATGTGGTGGAAGCTGGAGAATGGTCTGATCGAACGACCGATCTGAAGGACATGGCTCGGATCTTACCCACCTCGTTCGAACCCACTACTCTTGCATTGGCAACCAACAACATCAAAGCCAGTAATACTCGAACGACCTGGGACATCTGGCACCGACGCCTTGGTCATCTATCCTCTAGTGCCATGAAATCACTCTTCGGTTGAATGAGCAACGGAACCTCACTCGCTCGCTCGACACCTTCTAAAGATGTGTGTGAAGGTTGTGTCATGGGAAAGATTGTGCGCCCTCCTTTCCACCAAGTGAATCACGAGCTGAAGTCATCCTAGACCTCGTTCACACCGATCTCTGCGGACCAATGGGAGTTGGCTCGGATGGAGGAGCACAGTATATGATGGTACTGGTGGATGATCATTCGAGATATACGTGGTCGTTCTTTCTTGCTCAAAAGTCAGATGCATTCGGTCGATTCAAAGAGTGGCTTGCTTGAGTCGAACGAGTTAGTGAGCGGAAACTCAAATGTCTTCGTTCAGACAATGGAGGAGAATTCACAAGCAAGGAGTTTGAAAGCTATCTTACATCGCTCGGGGTAGAGCACCAAACCTCAGCTGCCTACACTTCTCAGCAAAATGGAGTAGCAGAGCGAGCAAATCGAACTATTGTCGAACGAACAATTGCACTCCTCCACTCAGAGAAACTTCCTGTCACTCTATGGGCAGAGATCATGGCAACTGTTGTGTATCTCAAGAATCGATCACCATCTCGCTCGATCAAAAATAAGACCCCACTCGAGATGTTTGCTCATATCAAGCCTAACTTATCCAAACTCAGAGTTGTTGGATGTGCGGCTTGGGCGCTCGTTCGGAAAGGCGCTCGAGATAGTAAACTTCAACCTCGTGCAACCTTGTGCTGTCTCCTTGGATATGCTCTTACTCAGAAGGCGTACCGACTCTGGGATCCACTCGCTCGAAAGGTGATCATCTCGCGCGATGTCATCTTTGATGAATCTATTTCACCACAGAGAATGCTTCGCTCATCTCCTTTGCTCGCTGAGTCGAACAAGCTCTTTCTACTTGACACACAGCTTGGTGCTAAAACAAGATCAATGGAACCTGCACCCATCTCTCAAACAAGTACTTCGAGCATCTCGAGTTCGTTTGATGCGTTCGAAGTGGTGGGAGATGAAGAAGTGGTGGGAGCAGAAGGACAGGTGGGAGATGGAGAGAGGGCAGGAACAGAGGAATTGGTGGGAGATGAAGGGCAAAATCAAACGAATGCAGTGGCTCGATTCCCGGGTTGGCAATATGAGGAAGACCCCCGTTTTGCTCGAGAGCATGCTCCCTCACCCGAACTGGAAGATTGTCAACCTGAACAAATGCGAACTCGCTCAGGTCGAACATTTGGTCTTGTCTCCCAGTACCCAGACTACGAGATCGAGCTAGACGATTTCCTCGGTCGACCGGGTGACCATGATTTTTCTCCTTCAGATGCTCGACTCCCTCAATGGCCAAATCCCCTCTCTCCATACTCGCTCGCTGCCTTTGCGGCACGCATCTCGGTCGATGAGCCTCGTTCATGGGAAGAAGTAATCCAATCGCTCGATTCAAAGCAATGGAAATTAGCTGCTCAGGACGAAATGAATTCTCTTCAAAAGGCAAAGGTCTATCATCTAGTACCTCGATCGATTGCTCGAGGCAGGATTGTAACCTGCAAATGGGTTTTTAGGGTCAAGAGATTTGCCAATGGTAACATCGATCGGTTCAAGGCTCGATTAGTCGCTCGAGGTTTCACTCAACAACCTGGGATTGATTATGATGAGACATTTGCCCCTGTTGCCAAGTTTCAATCCATTCGAACAATCCTTGCACTTGCTGCCATGCACGATCTCGAACTTCATCAGATGGATGTAAAAACTGCCTTCCTCTATGGTTCGCTCGATGAAGTAGTCTACATGGAACAACCAGAAGGGTTCGCTCGAGATGAGAAGATGGTCTGGAAACTGGA